CTCCGCTCCGCCCCCCCCCAGCCCGAGGTGACAACCTGACACCGCTCCCGTTGGCTTAAAAACACCAAACAAACAAAAAAAACCCCAAAAAACCCAAAAAACCAACCAACCCGCCTATGGAATAACACACACACTGACACTCCTGCTCCAACCACGCGTGCTAGAAGAGTGAAGTCTGAATGACAAGGACTCCAAAACTAGGAAACGCCAGAATTAAAGCTACGACCAAGAATTCTGTATGCGCCCTTTGAATGTACCAATTACCAGGGTCTCTAATTCCGTGGATTTCATACTGTCTCTCTGCTACCTAGCCCCTTCCCCCTCTACTGCCTGGATAGGTGGCCCTCTGACGAGTTACCAGACGACAGCAGGGAAGCGCTGCTCTGGAGGACGCCCATTTGACTTGCCCAAGTTGGATGATACGTTGCACGCAAGCGCCAGCGACTACAGGAAGAGAAGCTGCAATCTCCTGGTTACATCAGTCAAACACTGCCATATTTCTCTTAGTATCCTGTGCAACACCCGCACCTCAAACTTCCGTGAGGTCGTTACACATTCTTCCTTTACCACGTGTGTACTCAAATACCTAAACCGACCAAGCACGGAGGTGTTCCCTGGCACCAACACCACCCGCGTGGAGCAGCCACGTCCAGCTCTTTAAACACTTTTACCCACCTTGGCGTGGAGACTACCTGTTAAGAACAGTCCCTGCCCTGTCCTAACTTGCAGCTGTTTGGGAAAGCACACGTTGCCACGGCCAAAATCACGTCAGGGACCGCTCTAACTATGGAAAGGCACAAGCAGTGGAATTCCAGTGCCCAGAAGCATCCTCTGGTAGATGCTTCGTTGTAACACAGGTGTAGCCAAAATCTAAACACTCAAAAAATCAGGCCGTAAGCATCTTTAAACACCCATTCCTAATAGGCATTTTTGGTCTCGCTGTTTCTATACAATATTCTCTGTGTCTTGCATTAGAAGATGTTAACCGCCTTAGACCTCACAGGGACGCTGTAAAATGCAGACTACTATTATGTTGGTATAACACTAAGATTATAATCATGAGTACCACTGAGAAAGCCATTAGAAAATTTTAATCTTTGGATGATTCTTTAAATCAGGCAACAGGGACAATGAAGGAAAAGAAAAAAAAGCAACTAGTAATATTGACTCATCCAATACGTATGAAACAGGAATCCTACAAAGAAAAGGAAAAAAACCCTTTATGTGGTCATATAGTTAAAGACTAATTCATAATGTGAATTCACAACTTTATTTGTTTCTTAAGTTTTGATGTAAAAGTATTTCTGTTTTTTACCTTTTAAATTGATTCTTAAGACTACACACACACAAACACACACACATAAAAATGGTACTAGAACAACTTTTTGGTGCCTCACACTAAACCTAACACCAGCATTTCAAATCATACCAATTTTGCTCCAGAATTCAGAAAGTCATTTGTTTTGGATTTTATAGAAGAGAGTGAAAGCTCCATTCTGAATAGTTACAAACCAAGAATAGAAATAAAAGCTTGTATTTCAGAAAAAGTAAGTTTTAAAAATCAACTTGATCTACATTTACCCCGAAACAGAAAGGTACGTGCAAAACCAACAACAGCAGAGCAATGAATTTAAGCATGCCATCAATCCTAACAAATCCATAGATCCACGATCATTATACCAATGTATTAAGTTTATTTATTCAGAGACTGTTCTTCATCAAAGGAATTTCCCTGAGGAATACTGTGCTACTCCTATCAACGCTTTCTAACCCAGCATTAATCATCAGGAAATGCAGGCAGGCTTTGATCATCTGTAACTCCTGAAAGAAGGGCAATATAATCGAATTTCAAATTTGCAGCAGTTTCTGTGAGGAAATATGTCATCTAAAGGATGGGGAGAAAGAAAGGGGGGAAAGCGCTACTGGCCTAATAGCAGCACTCTTTTTTTAGCGAACAGCAAAACTAAAAGCAAGAAATGCTGTAGGCTGTTTTCTGTTAAGACCTTATTGCTCAGGTCAGGAACTCTACCTTTAAAGTCTCCTACAACCTTATAGAAAAAACATCTAGAAAAGCTTTCAATTAAGAAGTAATTCGCTGTGTATCACGCCTTATGCAGGCTTTTGAGAGGCACAAAAAGCGTGCACATGGATATGGATAAAACCTCTAAGTTTAACTTAGTACGGACTGTCCTTCTGTTCTGTTTTTAGACAGGGTACGGAACAATTAGGTTCTGGTCCACAACTGTAAGTTCTGACACCCTGGGGTAATGAAAATCATAGCAATACTTAAATGCAAATTTTCAAAATCTGTTAGATAAAATTCTTAACAAAGAAAGAAATTAAGAAACACCACATAGCTGGTTTTGCTAGATTAGCTTGAGAGTTTGGTGAGCAGTTACTGTAAGACATTTTACATCCCTGAGTAAATGCTAGAAAAAAAGACACTTCTGGAAAGAGAATCAACTTTTTTTTTTTAAATTATTTTTTGCTAAAAATCCCATTTATGTATGTAATTTTAGACAATTGTGGTATTAGTACTGAACTTATATTACAGTAACACCCAAAAGCCTTCATCTTCTCCATACAAATTTAGAAGTTAATTTCTATTCCATGCTATGTAAACAAACCAACCAATTATTACCTCATGCTGTTGTTCCTTTTATAAATTTAATTATGAATTTCAAACAAGAATCTTATAAAGTTCACTTTACCTGTAAATGCCTTGGGCTTTACAATCACTGAGTCAGGTCCACTGGAGAGTATCGGCCTTTTGATATTCACATTGCTTGAACAGAAATTAGTAACAATAATATAGTAAGGCTGTAAAATTTGAAGGTAATATTAATCTCATTTTTTCTTAACTCATTTCAATTAAGCACACAGGACTCACAATAAGAATTTTTTACTTTTAAGTTTACTCTACTTCCTATAGCTGAATTAATTCCGTATTAATTTCCTTGAGACCACTATCACTGTTCTCAGTCAGAATTCAAAATTTCGTAGCACTAGGACAGAAATCTTGTGCACCCTTTTACTGGCACAAATCTAGATAAAGGTATCAAGCTATCACAGGTCTGCAAGAAGCTTTAGGGGATTTAGCACAAAGATGGGAAGTTCCCAGCTTGTGGAATGTGTACCACTGCCAGGAGACAAAACACCGAATGGTATGCTGCAGCAGCAGCTCCCAGCGCTGCCGGCTTGCTGTAGGTGCTTAACATCGCCTTCAGCCCCCAAAATCCCACAGCCTGCTTCGCCGTACACAGCGGAGCTTGCGGCAGTCCAGCACCACCACTGCCTGCAGTTCTAAATCTGGACTAGGCTAGCGGTGGTGCGTCCTGCCTCTGGGGGAGATGGTACGACCAGCCGATGTCCAACCAACTTCAGAGATCTCCAGCAATAAGGTCTTCCAGTAGGAGAGCAATTTGCTGAATACAGAAATAAAGCTCATCCCCCGGCACACCAAGAGACCTCAGAAGTATTTGCTGGTGGACATCAATGAATTCCGATTGTTTGTGTTGGACACATATCACTATTGCACAGCTGTGACAGATGCGGAGATTTAATACTAAGCTCTTGTTCTGTCTTTTGTTGCTGTTTTGAAGAGAATCCCTGTCTAATGTTTTTTTCTATTTTAGAAATAAATTATTTGGCATTTCTATAAGCCATTTCAGTCAAAGATCTCAGAGCTGAATGAAACAAAAACCAAAACAAGCAAAAAAAAAAAAAATTCCCACTCCCATTTGAAAACATTACCCATCAATATCAGCCACATTTTACAGGTGAACTGCCTGAGGCACAGAAAGTCAAAAGACCCACTGACAAACTTGATAAGGAATAGCCAAAAAACAATTCCACTGATATTTACTTTTGATTTCTGGTCTTCAGTTACAAACATGCACACACCCTTTCCTAATTAAACTATTTGGAGCTGCTCTAAAATCTTTCCCAATTTAAGCCTCAAGTGGACATACTGCTGAAACACTTTCCTTCAACACTTTTTCTGGAAAGCAAGGCAGTAGCCTTCAACCACAATTCTGATACAACACAGTAGCTAACTTTGTCTAATTTCAGCTGAGGGTATACACAGAAGCAGTTCTATCATGTCTACCCATGCACGAAGAGATGTGGGGTTTTTTTAAATGCTGAATGCGGAAGAAAAACATGACTGTGGAACTAAATTAGTTTGACACTTGATACAACATGCACAGATCATTTCCATTTGCACAGGTATTGCTCAGCAGTTTGTTCTACCAGGTGTTTTCTTCATGACTGGCTTAAAATTATTGCTAAGATTTTAAAGTCCTACTGAGCAACAAAGAACACATTGTATTACATGTAAGATGACTTTCACTGAGGATAAAAGCAACTGGTATTTTGTGTAAAAACAAGCCTAAAACCTCGACCTTTTTAGGCAGTTCAGACTTGGACAAAAATACATCTCAAAGCATTGTTATCAATACTGCAAGCGTAGGTGTGGAAAGAAAAAATAAGCAAACACTCCCCCAAACCACCACCAGATTTAAACAGCATGCTCTTGTGAAATTGAGCAGGTGAACCAGGGTTGAATTAAAGCACAGAGAGAACCACACTCCCAAGTTTCTTTAGTTTAAGATTACTGTGTTCTTGCATGGCTGAATGGAGGGGAAGAAAATATTCAACAACTCACATCAAACACCTGCTCCTGCCGATACACACCTCTTCTAAGGCAATCTGTCATATTTCACCAATATCCTAGAGTTTGTCCTTAAAAAAAATTACTTGACTGAGTATATATAAATTCAACAACATACATACCTTTGGAAAAAGAGGCTTTCCTCTTGTGTCAGAAGACCTTTCTGATATCCACCCTTGGCATGGCTGATTCGGCTGGCACAAGGCAGTTTTCGAGGCTTATAACAGAACCATGGCTCACCCGTGTAGAGATCTGTGAAGTTACACACAGGGAGATCTCCAGACAAGCAAACGTTGCACTCAGTGGTCTCCGAATACCTTCCAGACTTGAATGAGCTTTTGAAATAGACCCTGTCTGGCCTTTCTTCTCGTAAACGCAGGAGGACTTGGACTGCTTCACTTGGATGGACAAGTGACACAGAAACTTTGACCTCTCCTGGCCAAAGCAAGGTAAAGAAGACCTTGTAAAGGCCATTACGGCAATCTACAATCCTTCCCGTTGCTCCAGCTTTCAGCAGAGGAGAGTGAATTCGTGCCTGTAGATAGTCGCCACCATACTGCTTGGGTTTTCCTTGGAAATCCTTCATACGAACAAGCACCTCTAACTGATCACCCACCTTGAAGAACGCACGGGGTTTCACAATCACAAAGTCACTATGTGCAGGATCAGTGCTTTGTAGAAAGGCAATTTTGCCATCAGAGGGTTTTGGCCACTGTATGGCAGCAAGCAATGACTCCTGTTCCGCTTGTTCTCTTTTGGACAAAATCTGCTGCTTATAACCACAGTAAGGCTTCCTGGTAGTTTTGGTTGTCTGTGAAAGAGAATGCTGGACATCGTTTTCTGTTACCCAATTTGATCCTGAAACTGTGTCATCATCCAGGTGCTGGGGAGGAAAAAGATTACCTGAAACCGTGCTATTAAATGAAACACTATGAATAACAGATGCTTTGTCAGGAAACGATCCCAAGAACCGGGCTTTGCTTTACAGAGCTTTGAAGCTGACCAAATGCAGCAACTTCACGAGAAGACACAAATCTATTACTTTGGCTGTAGGCTTTCTAAGGAAACAGGTGGGCAACCTGTGGTTACCCTGCTCTGGCAAAGAGGCTTTTATATAAATCAGGCCCAATATTTTCTGCAGCAGTATTTTAGCTACCAGTGTATTCTGTAAATATCAGCAGTGTGAAAAAAATTACAAAAGGTCATAAGATTAAATAGCAAACTGGAACTCATGTTTAATTTTCTTACCGTAGTAACATTTTAGTGTTCGAGCACAATGAGGTCTAATAGCTGCCCAATATAGTGCAAGGAAATAGGCTTTCTTTGAGACATTACACTGCAGATGAATCTGATGCACCCCCTACACATGCCTTCTAGAGAAGTCTGCTGCATGTAGCAGCTGTGGTCATTTATCTGGTCACACTCACATTGCTTCTTATCTAATTATCTGAAATGTGGTTTCCCTGTAATGTACAGATTGAAAGAAATGGAAGAAAAGAAAGGAATGCTTCAGGGGCAATGAATTCATGAACTGGTGGGCAAGTAAAATAGTCTAGGACAAGCTAGGACTAAACAGGAAAAAAAATGTATTTGTTTGTTTATTTTTAAGATTTTAAAGTCTACACACAGCTTCTCCTAAAGCCAAATGAAACACAACCAGAGCATTCCCTAATCCACACAAGAGTTTAAAAATTACAACAGTTAAACACAACGCTAGACTAAGAGAGGAGGCTTCTGTTGCGACTTGAGATCAGTGTCCAAAACTGTATTTTTATGCAAATGACTGCAGAGATACCATCTTCTTCAAGACATTACACAATTCTGCAGGTTTGAATAAGGGAAATTTAAAAAATAGCACAGTCTAAGACTCCCAGAGCTACCCATGAGATTTCTAGTCAGCAAATCCAAACTTACACCTCAAATATGCACAAAATCAGCAGTTAATGAGTATTTAATTATCGGGTGTATATAGTAGAACTTATCCATACTCATATTTCATAAGAAGCAAAATACATCAAATCATTTTTCAAGTAAAGATTAAAATCATACCATGTGCCATTCACACGGCATCAGAGAACATGCTAGTTTAGATCTGAAAGACTGCTAAAAAAACGCTATTTGAAATTTTTTAAAAGATCATTGTACTTACCAATATCCTAGTGTTCTCCATTTACTTCCTCCATAATTAACTGCTCAGAAATGTACTAAATTCCCAGTACTTACATTAAAGCCTTATTTATTGTTATAGACCTTTCTTAGTCCATTGAAATATCACCTAGAGTACATGTACATACTAAGCAGTTTCCCCTCCACTACATTTCATTTGAATTTGCCAGTATATTAAAGTCATTTGAACAACACAGAGATTCAATGTACTTTTTTGGGAGATAGGTAAAGCTAACAAGCAATAGAAACGCACAGGCTTTTGAAGCCTGCTACGTAAGAAGCTGGTTTTGATCAGCTTAAGAGTAAGAGGATAATGAGCACACTCAGATGTAGGATGGATACACAGGATCTTCTCTGTTTGATACCCATGTTAACCATAAAATCTGAAATTGTAAATTATTACATTTTAACTATAAAATGTAAATTGACAGGTACCCACAGATACACAAAATGTTATTATCACAATAAAAGCTTTTGCTTCTGTTTTACATTTCTACACAGGATTTAACAAATTTTCCCTGAAGGCCATCTGAGGTAATTTGTAATTATTTCTGCTTTCCATCACAGCAGGCAAAAATGCCAACGTATCACTGCACATTACTTTTATGAATCCAGTAAATTTCAGGCAAAGCTGAGAATGAATCTCAGGCACGGTTCTACTTTAAAGCTTGCCTACATGCATTCCTGAATTAAGCCAAGTTTCTATTTTTGGATACCTTCACAACTTCTTCCTTTCACTTGCTCATGCATATACATAACAGAAAATACCGCATGGAAATATTTTTAAAAGTTACCTATATAGTTTGATGCATCCAACAAGCTAGCAACCATGTCTCAGTCAGCAAAAATATTTAAGCATTTTCCTAAGGAGGGGTGGAGAGGGAGAATACACGTGTTCAATTAATTCTTGTGTTCAGTGTTAGCTCTCAGAGAAAGTTTCTTTATTTCAGTTGGTTCTTCAATGGTTGGTACTTCAAGGGGGGTATGTGGAAGAAAAAAATCTTTTCAAATGAAGAAGAAAGATGGCTATCTAAGAAGGCCTTAAAAACAGACCCATCACTATATTTAACCTTCTATACATTTCTTCAGGGTTTTTAATGCAGTCAGAGAAGTAGAAGATGTTGTTTATGTCCTAGCTAGCCTTTCTGAAGTCTTCAAAGGACCTGCATATGTCTTCCAGTGGGAAAGGGTACAGAGAACACCAAACCAACACTCATACATTCAGAAAACAGAGCGGAGAACATAGTTTGATGTCTCTAAAGCAGTCCACCTACACAGCCTTTTTAGCAAAGCACCAGGCCAAAGCTCTTCACTTGTATGCAGCTGAGGTCCCAGACAAGCACTGTCACTTCAACTCCAGCATCTCCAGGTTATGACCCATTAAGCAGAATAGATCATACCACAAATATTTCCTCAGTCAGTCTTCAAGGGGAAAAAAAAATCTCTATGAAAGTAAAACCAGAGCTGCTTCAACATCCTGAAGGACCATTCTTTCTGTAACATCCTTGTTCATCTTTACAGCCCTCTCCCAAGTCCAAACAGGACCACGTATTATTGCAGAATTGTAAGCTTACATGTGAAAGTAAACTACATCATGTATGCTATTCACAGGAGAAAATATTACAGAGATTCCATTTTCCAGTTAAGGCAGGGAAAGCTTCAGAGTCAATTTGTACACCGAAGATCCCTGACTGGAACAGAAAAGCTTTCCAAACCATCTTCCTTACTTAAGTGCTTCCCAGGCTCATCTCCAAACAAGTGTCCAAGCTCTCCTATCCCTACAGATACACATGGCTTGCCCTGAGGCAGATTAATAGCTTAGTCTCTCCCCACTCCATTCCCTACCCTCTCTTTCTCTGGCATTTCCAGATCTCTCTGGCTCCTGTATGTTAAGATGTCATACTCAGACCATGCAGAACTGTGGGCTCTCTACTCTAGTTAGCAGTCAAAATAAAATAAGATTTCTTTAAGTAGGGCAGATAAAGAGCATGTCTCAAGACTTCAAGAGTCCTCTTCCTTTATCTTACGACACAGATTCTTTTAGTTTTTAATAAAATCTCCACGTTGAATAACACTTGCCCTGCTTTGCTTATTTCCATATATACTCCATTCAATGTGTCCTGATTTTGAATGCAATTCCCAAGGGTTTTTTTGTTTGTTTGTTTGTTGGGTTTGTTTGGGGTTTCTTTTAGTTTGTGTGTGTCAGTTTTTGTAGGGTTTTTCGTTTGGTCTTTTTTTATTATTATTTTTTTATTTGCTGCATTCTCAAGTTAACCAGAACCCAAATGTGATCATAAAGTAATTTAATGGATGTCTGCCAAGTAGCACAGGCAGGACAGAATGGATTACATGTCAATTAAGCACAAACAAATGCAGAAGCTGTTCCTGGTGCATGAAAGATGTCATAAAAAGGAAAAAAGGAAGCTGTATTTTCAGGAGAACTAATGAAAGTTTCAACTCAACTACTCAGCTTTTAGCACTCTCACTGCCAACTAAGCAAAAATTACATATATAGCCCCACCCAGGCAATCATGCTCTCAAAGATATTCTAGAAGGGTCACAAGGTACTTGATTAGACCTGCAATGAACACCTGTCCTCAGTTAAATACAATAATGTTGGTGGCTGATAAAAAACGTTTGAGTATTTCAATTGCTGCTGAAAAGGCGGAACTCCATCTCAAAGCCCAGTATCTTCCACCAGCTGTCACTCTTAGCTTGGCCTAGTGCACTCAGAACGATTGCTGTAAACCTGCATATGTCACTAACGTTAGAGCAGGAAATTCCCAGGTGACAGGCATGGGGTGGGGGGGTGAGGGAAGTTCCAGTTTGCCCAATAAAGAGTCTTAATTCATGCAGCAGACAATATTTGAAACTGAACAAATACCAATTACTGAAAGGTCAGTCATCTTATTTTCAGTAATTTTACACTCCAGGTACTTTATACCTATTTGCTGTCTAAGACAGGCATGAGATCAGTTCACTGTCTTTACTGTTTCACAGCACTGAGTGGGTGCTAAGTTACTCTAAATGTCAAAGCCAATCCTAAAAAGCCATCACCTGACAGACAAATGCTCCAGCAATAATTTGAATAAAATGATGCAGTTATCTTTTGTAGGCATCTGCAATTTAGAAACAAGAATAAAAAACTCTGTTACACAGTGCTTTTGTTCAGTTTCAGCTGTTTGATTCCACACACTATTCCTTCAACCTTGCAAGAAACTTCCCCCCTCCCCATACACTCTCTTTTTTAAGTGCTTTTAAATAAAAGAATGCTCACAACCAATCCTGAAGTGGTTCTCTCACTCTAAAGGCAATTGATACAAATATACAAATCCTCCTGTATCCTAAAGGCATGATGTTGCTCCTTGGCCACAACCTAATACTTTGTGGAAAATTATTGAACATTTTATCTGTCTGTGTTTACAAAAAAAAATATAATAAAATAAAAATACATTTCTTCTGGTACTATAATGCAGTGGTCAGCTGTGAACCTCAAGGCAGGACTTACTCCCTACTAAAAAGCACATTAAACAATAAGCAGGCTATCAGATGTTTTGTGGACAGCTTTTTTTTTTTTTTTTAAACACAAAGTAAGAAAAGTAAAATTCTGACATGGGTAGGACGGTTGAGAGGGTATCATTAGTAGCTTAAGAATTCAAAAGGGAAGATTCCAACATGAAAAAGTATAAAATCATAAAGAGAAAAAGCAAGGAGGCTAGCTGGGGGCTAGCTGATAATTGCCTTAGCTCTTTAGCTTTAGCCAGCTAGATTAGATGATTTGATTTTAGTCTGGGCTTACTGACTAATGCAGTTTGAAAGTACCTCTGCACTAAAGTGATAAACAAAATGAATAAATATGCAAGTCAGACACAGCAGAGGGAAAAAGGAAAAGGTAAAGAAAAGCTGCATCAGTACAGGCTGGAGGTCAACTAGCTAGCTAACAGCTCTGCGGAAAAAGATCTAGGGATTCTGGTGGACAGCAAACTGACCACGTGTCAAGAGCGTAGCATTTTGGCAACGAATTAACAAGAGCATAACCAGCTGATCAAGCAAAGTGATAATGCCCCTCAATTTGACCTTGGTGAAGCCACATCTATAACACCATGTCTGGTTTGTGGACACCCTGTATCAGAGTCAAACTGGAGAGACCAGCTAAGAACCCCTGAGATGATCAGGGGACTGGAGTACATGACGGAAAGGAGACACTAAGGGAGCCAGACTTTTTTTTTTTTTTTTTTTTTTAAAGTCTGGAGAAGACCGAGAGGGGATCTAACTGCAGTCTTTTACTACCTAAAGGGGAGTGGCAGAGGAGCTGGAGTCAGAAGTCCACACTAAAAGGATAAGAAGGAACTTCCACCTGCACATAAGAGAAACATTCTTCCCGATGAGAGGGGTGCAGCACTGCAACAGGCTGCCCAGGCAGGCTGTGAAACCTGACTGCCCTTAAAGACTGTCAAAACTCAACTCAACAATACCATGCGCAATCCAAGCTAACTCTGAAGTTAGCCCTTTGAGGAGGGCGTTGGATTAAATACCTCCAGGCATCCCTTCCACTCTGAATTTTCTGTGATTTCGAGTTGTAGCTAAACGCTGTCAGTCACAATTCTAACCTTACAAAGAAGAATAATGTTGCTCAAGCCCTCTTAGAGAAGAAACAGGCTCCACTTACCTCTAACTGAAAAAAATTATGGACCAGTACCACAATAGCCAGTACTGCCATAAACAGGCAGAAGATTTGCAGTCGGAACGAGTCACGCCACATTGTCCATTCATGTCTTTCCCTCCCATGTTAGATGCTGCCATGACTTCCATTCACCACAAACACGAATGTCATTTCGTCTCAGTAGCACGCAAGAGAATTCAGTTGACTTCCACTTCATTCCTGCAAACGTATTTACAAAAATTATATTAAGTCCCCAAAATATTATTAGAAGTAAAGTTGAGTTTAACACTGAAAGCATATAAAAGGCGGAACTTTGCACAGCGACAACTGGTACAACAGAACTGTTAAGACAGATTTTTGTGGCATTCATCTGAACATTACTATCTATTATGTTACTGAATTCTCTTGGACACGTCAAGGCAAAATCTTACCATAGAGCCAGTCTCACCTGTATTTGATACAAAAAAAAAAAAAAAGGCAAAAGAAGAGTGCAAGATTTCTTTCTGGCAACCAAAAAAACAAAACAAGCAACCACCACCCAGCCAGCCTATCCATTAGGCCACACCATCACCATCCAGCCAACATGAGCCCAAGACTTTTAGCAGACACTTGGGTTTTTAGACATCTCCCTGTTTACCTGATCAGAGATTCCAATAAGTTGTTATTAAAGACTAAGGTCTGAAGCAAGTCTGAATTAGCAAGATAAAAGATACTTTCTCCCTTTTTTTGCTGGAAAGAGGGGGAAAAAAATAGCTGTAACACCTATCAGTTAAACAGGAGATATCTAACAGAGTTGAATGCGCTAAAATTAAACTTCAGAAATCTTCTATAACGTTACACTACATCCACCTTGGGTTTTTTTTTTTAATCATTCCTTTTAGATCATGTACTCTTTTGCAGCTCTCATGGTAAAAAAAGTAGACTTCTAGGAAGAATGCAAGGTGTTGGGTTTTGGTTTTGTTGTTTGTGATTTTTTAAAAATAAAATAATAAACATGTTTTTAATAAAATTTATATTTTTGTGACATTTATTGTTTCTTTGAGGTTGCCTGATAGCCAATCAGTTATAAAATCAGATTTAACAACCATTGACAAACAGTTCTCACAGCTTAATGCTTGTTCAGCTTGACTCTTGTAGCTTCCTTCTTTTTTAGAGGGACAATTCTGAGGCAGTCATTTTGCAAGCAAAAAGGGTACCGTTCTTGCAGAAGGAGAAACTCTAAACTTGGAAACAGACAACAGATGGCAAGGAGAGACAGTCAAAAGACACCAGTCTCTTCAAACCTAATATTCCTCAAAGCTGCGTTACTCATACAACCATCCACCAAGTGCAACAACATAATCAAATGGTTAGATAAACTTGTATAACTTTCCATAAACAGTATAACTGAGAAATTATACTATTGATTAAGACTTAACATTTATTAAATATTATTTATTATTTATCAAGAATGCTGTGCAAGTTTAAATTAAACATAAGGATACATTAAATATCAGAATTAGTTAATTAAATTGTTCATTAAATGAACACAGACTAGAAAACGGAAATGTATTACTGGTATAATCAGGACAGTTTCAAAATAGACCACACATAAAATTGCTTTACAAGGATTATAGGGATTATAACTTCAAATACTTTGCTGAGAATTACAGAGATCATATTTCTGACTGATGAAGAAGCATTGAAAGAGCCAAGATGTCCATTAAAGTAAAAGTATCAAACTGACAAAATGCAATAAAAACACAGCTTTGTTGGAACAGTTTGGCACTAACATAAAGTATTAAATTTGTATAAAATATCAACTCGGGTTTTAAATGATAACTGATAATGAATATACCTAAATACATTGAAATGCTAGTTTAAGGCCATATACAACCATTTGAGGAAAAGAAATAAATACATTAGAGAAAAGAGGAACTTCCAATTTTGTTGCTGAGAATTCTCTTCAAATCACTGAAAAGCACAAGGCACTGAAAATTAACAGAATGTAATTTCTTGCACCTAAAAAGGCCACGGAGGCTGCTCCCACGTATTTTTGTTCAAAAGTTTTTGTTCAAAATTTTCTGTACTTCTGTAAATGTCACAAGTTCTAAAACATTCAAATGTACAGGTTTAGAGCTTTCTTTGTACTAAAGGCCTTAACATACTTCCAGTTTCATCATCCCCGAATAACTGATCTAGTCCATTTTTTATATAATGGAAGCACATAAGTACGCCAAAAAGCCTTAGATTCTTACCCTGTTCTCGGAGCATTCTCTGAAGCCATCCACGCAAAAGGCCAAAAATACCCTTGGAAACAATACAGAAAAAAAAAAAAAAAAAAGTGTATATATACGCACACACACATATACACACACAAATATTTTTTAATAAAATCTCATATATTAGTGGTTTGCTTGCAGTGACACAAAGTAACATGGCAGTTAAGCCTCCTTACCCGTAAAATTAATTTTGGTTCTACGATAATCCAGGGGTTTTTTTTAAAAGTATATTAATTGTTTTATTTTAAATTTTTTTAACTTCAGTCCTATACCTTTGAATTTTCTGCTACTTATTGTTAAGTACTACTCCTCTCAGCTTTGTTCCATGTTGTTACAAGCCCCATTTTGCCCAATATTAAAAACAAAAACCATCTCAGTGACATTTTCATGAACCCTCTGCACGTTCTCTCACGCTCAATCACAGGAGTGGGTTTTTTAAGTCATTAAATACTGCCAGCTCTCTATCCCAATACTTCTCTAAGCCAGCAGCGTTACAAAAGCACGTATTAGTGCAACTGCTTCAAAGCACTGTTATGCAAAGCGCTAAGGCAGACCAGCCCCTAACTCTGGCGATGGCAAAACCACTGCACTGAGGCACAAGGTTTCTAGGCTAGCCCCTTGCCTTGCTGCAGCCACAGAAAATCACATTTGCGACTGTTTTTCCCAGCTCAGCCTTGCTCCCGGAGGAGAGCACAGCCCCTACGGCGCGCTGACGCGCAGAGGTCAGCGCAGCGCGTTTGCAGCGCGTTTGCGGAGCTCGGCTCCGCTGCAGCCCCCTGCAGCAGTTCTGGTCGAGGAGAACCAGCCCGCTCCCCCGCCGCGCTGCCCAGCTCCCCCGGGCAGGACAGGCACCCGAAGGGAAGGGACGGGGGCAACACAAAGCAAGCAGGAAGCGCTGCTGCTCACAATATAGACGGCAAAGCCGGATTTTACTGCTCTGAGGGTACTTTTAACCGCGCTCTTCCCACCCGCAGCACACCTTCGCCGGCGGCCCGGGCACAGGCCGCGGGGCCGCTCGCAGCCCTGGGGGGAGCGGCGCAAGAGGCTGCGCCCGCACCGGGCAG